TCGGACCAGGGCCTTTCTGAGTGGAGTTTGCATGTTCTCCCCGTGTCTGCGTAGGTTTCCTCCGGGTACTCCGGTTTCCCCTACCACTAAAAATATGTCCAATAGGTCTGGCATGCGCCTCCTGTTCGGCGACCCCGCTCCCATCTCTGTGTGGAGTGAGAGACAAGTGCCCAAAAAATAACAATTGTAAACCGCTTTGAGAAGTAAATAAAGATAAATAAAGATTACTAGAAAAAAAAACGACCCACGCTCCTCCCCCTTCCTTTCTGACTGGTCTTGAAGTCACGCCTACTTTTCCGTGTACGTGCCAGAAGAGAGATTATTCATTTAAATATTTGAATATTTAATCATAATGTATTAAATGGCTCTTCACAGCAGCAGGAGAACGCTCCATTGAGTTTAATGTAATTTCAAAACGTTCGACAGATCATTATTTCTTGATAACAGACTCTCAAACCAATAATGACCGCTGCCCTTTGGCAACGCACTCTGTGCTTGTACTTCAGGTGTAAAATAAATCATGAATCAACAACAAGTGGGACACAATCGTGAAGTGGAACAAAATGTATTGGATAATTTAAACTTTTTGAACAAATAAAAAACTGAAAAGTGGGGCGTGCAATATTATTGGGCCCCTTTACTTTCAGTGCAGCAAACTCAGTCCAGAAGTTCAGTGAGGATCTTTGAATGATCCAATGTTGTCCTAAATGACTGATGATGATAAATAGAATGCTCCTGTGTGTAATCAAGTCTCCGTATAAATGCACCTGCTCTTTGATAGTCTCAGGGTTCTGTTTAAAGCACAGAGAGAACCATGAAGACAAAGGAACACACCAGGCAGGTCCGAGATACTGTTGTGGAGAAGTTTAAAGCCGGTGTAAAATACTAAGATTACTCTGACAGTAGTTCGTACACTTCGTCACAACGAGCTTTCAGCGTCTGTCACTTATTACTTCTGTCTGAGCAAGAGAAGCTATCGAAGCTAGCCACGCTCACTAACACAAATATCAATCAATCAACACATTTAAATGTTAATCGGAGAATACATTATACATTTACATTCTTAACATACGTGCACGGAGATTTTCAGAATTATCTGGTAACGTTTTCATGACAAAAATACTTTTTTAATGAGTCAAAAAGTGATCGGGGTGAACCCCTTAGTAACCATTAACATGAGTAGAACATTTTAGGACACATTTGTAGAGGATCTGATCATGGATTTAGGTTGAATTGAAACAGTATTTGAGTCACTCACTGCTGATGTTCAGAATTCTTTGTTCAGTTTTCATCTAGTTCCAGGGAGTTCAAGTTAGTAAGCTAGCCTAGCTGTTACCCGGCTAGCCTACAGTCTATGGTCTGGCCACGTCAGGGTGAAACCTTTGGGAACTAACTATTTTAAATATATTATTTAAAAAAGATAATGCTCATTACAGCTTTGAATATAAAGGGCTGACTAATATTTGTTTGGTGACTTTTTGAAAAATGCTAATGAAGGATTTAGCATTTTACTTTTGGACCAGAGCAGAGAAAATGGTCCGAACCAAGTGGGTACTCCACCTTTTGACTCCACCTCTGCTGCTGTGACCCGTCCTGCTCCACCCAGAGGCTACTCCACCTCTGCTGCAGTGACCCGTCCTGCTCCACCCAGAGGCTACTCCACCTCTGCTGCTGTGACCTGTCCTGCTCCACCCAGAGGCTACTCCACCTCTGCTGCTGTGACCTGTCCTGCTCCACCCAGAGACTACTCCACCTCTGCTGCTGTGACCCGTCCTGCTCCACCCAGAGGCTACTCCACCTCTGCTGCTGTGACCCGTCCTGCTCCACCCACAGGCTACTCCACCTCTGCTGCTGTGACCCGTCCTGCTCCACCCAGAGACTACTCCACCTCTGCTGCTGTGACCCGTCCTGCTCCACCCAGAGGCTACACCACCTCTGCTCCTGTGACCTGAAGGGCTGTTGCTGATTATTATTATTATTATATTTTTAGAATGATCAATTTTATTCTTATTTTTGCTGCTACTGGACACCTGAATTTCTCCTACGGGGATCAATAAAGTATCTATCTATCTATCTAGAGTCACAACAGATGTCATAGAGTCACAGCAAGCAGACATCATAGAGTCACAACAGACATGATAGAGTCACAACAGACATGATAGAGTCACAACAAGCAGACATCATAGAGTCACAACAGACATCATAGAGTCACAACAGACATCATAGAGTCACAACAAGCAGACATCATAGAGTCACAACAGACATCATAGAGTCACAACAAGCAGACATCATAGAGTCACAATAGACATCATAGAGTCACAATAGACGTCATAGAGTCACAACAGACATCATAGAGTCACAACAAGCAGACGTCATAGAGTCACAACAGACATCATAGAGTCACAACAAGCAGACATCATAGAGTCACAACAGATGTCATAGAGTCACAACAGACATCATAGAGTCACAACAGACATCATAGAGTCACAACAAGCAGACGTCATAGAGTCACAACAAGCAGACATCATAGATGAGACCAGAGTCTCTGGTCTCTCTCTGGTCTCTCTCTGGTCTCTCTCTGGTCTCTCTCCCTGGGGAAAATCCTCCCAAATACCTCCATATAATAACTTTTATGATTTATGTATTTTTCACTGCAAAAACCATAGTTTCTTTGGTGATAGTTAGCGACTGTATTATCTCTCCCATCGTAAACCCATGTTATCCTGCACAATTACTCTCTCTGGTCCCTGTCTGTCTCTGGTAACTGTCTGTCTCTGGTAACTGTCTGTCTCTGGTCTCTGGTAACTGTCTGTCTCTGGTCCCTGTCTGTCTCTGGTAACTGTCTGGTCCCTGTCCGTCTCTGGTCCCTGTCCGTCTCTGGTCCCTGTCTGTCTCTGGTCCCTGTCTGTCTCTGGTAACTGTCTGGTCCCTGTCCGTCTCTGGTCCCTGTCCGTCTCTGGTCCCTGTCTGTCTCTGGTCCCTGTCTGTCTCTGGTCCCTGTCTGTCTCTGGTAACTGTCTGTCTCTGGTCCCTGTCTGGTCCCTGTCCGTCTCTGGTCCCTGTCCGTCTCTGGTCCCTGTCCGTCTCTGGTCCCTGTCCGTCTCTGGTCCCTGTCTGTCTCTGGTCCCTGTCTGTCTCTGGTCCCTGTCTGTCTCCGGTAACTGTCTGTCTCCGGTCCCTGTCTGTCTCTGGTCCCTCTCTTTGGTGTCCCTCTTTCTCTCCTACTGGTCTCTCCCTCTTACTGGTCTGTCTTACTGGTCTCTCTCTGGTGTCTCTCTGGTCTCTCTCTCTGCTCTCTCTCTGATCTCTCTCTGCTCTCTCTCTGGTCTCTCTCTGGTCTCTCTCTGGTCTCTCTCTGGTCTCTCTCTGGTCTCTCTCTGGTCTCTCTCTGGTCTCTCTCTGGTCTCTCTCTCTGGTCTCTCTCTCTGGTCTCTCTCTGGTCTCTCTCTGGTCTCTCTCTGGTCTCTCTCTGGTGTCTCTCTCTGGTCTCTCTCTCTGGTCTCTCTCTCTCTGGTCTCTCTCTCTGGTCTCTCTCTCTGGTCTCTCTCTGGTCTCTCTCTGGTCTCTCTCTGGTCTCTCTCTCTGGTCTCTCTCTGGTCTCTCTCTGGTCTCTCTCTGGTCTCTCTCTGGTCTCTCTCTGGTCTCTCTCTGGTCTCTCTCTGGTCTCTCTCTGGTCTCTCTCTGGTCTCTCTCTGATCTCTCTCTGATCTCTCTCTGGTCTCTCTCTGATCTCTCTCTGGTCTCTCCCTGCTCTCTCTCTGGTCTCTCTCTGGTCTCTCTCTGGTCTCTCTCTGGTCTCTCTCTGGTCTCTCTCTGTTCTCTCTCTGGTCTCTCTCTGGTCTCTCTCTGGTCTCTCTCTCTGGTCTCTCCCTGCTCTCTCTCTGGTCTCTCTCTGGTCTCTCTCTGATCTCTCTCTGGTCTCTCTCTCTGATCTCTCTCTGATCTCTCTCTGGTCTCTCTCTCTGGTCTCTCTCTGGTCTCTCTCTGGTCTCTCTCTGGTCTCTCTCTCTGGTCTCTCTCTGGTCTCTCTCTCTGGTCTCTCTCTGGTCTCTCTCTGATCTCTCTCTGGTATCACATCTTTCCTCTTAATAAATAACATGCATAATCACACTTCTCGTTGCTTTTCTGACAGGGTTAGCGTCTATACAGAACATTTCTCCATGTGTCCCAAAGTAAAGCCCTTTATATGTTTAGTTTCTGAGTATATTCTCCAGTTTCCTCTTACTTTGGTGATGGCCAGCGGCTCTCCGTGCTCCAGTCCTCCCTTCAGCGTGAATCCCCAGGGCGCTCCCCCGCTCAGATGGACCTGTGCGTGGGCATAAGTGGCCCGCTCCATGCCGCTGTCCGGGGCTGCTACTGGGGGTCCTCTCGCCGCCCGTAGAGGCTGCTTCTGGGGGTCCTTCAGCACGGCATCAGGGGGAGTTTTAGCGGGACTTCAGGCTCCATCTCCAGGCGTGAAGAGCTCAGATCCTGCAGGACTGGACCGGGACTGGACTGTGGACCAGGACTGGACCAGGACGAGAGGAGGAGGAGGAGGAGCGAGACTTTGGAGACTTTTGAAAAACTGGAGGAATTCTGACAAGGCGGGGCTTAGTCATCTACGTCACACACGAGAGCATTTAAAGCTGGGGTACCTAACTTTATTTTTTTTTTTTTTTTATTATTCCGACAGAAAGAGTCTTGTCAAAGTAAAATGGTGTGATTCAATCGGTCTTCATCTCATTAAAAACACGTAACATTTTTGTCAGAAAGAGCCCAGATAGTCTCTATTTGACATTTTGGGCTGAGAACTGAGATCTTCACTGATGATCTACAATAGTCTAAATTCCTAATCTAATTTTAAATTTGTACACCCCTGCAATTTTTGTAATGTTGAATGTGCACTTGTTCAATGTTTTCTTTTTCTTTTTTGCAGAGAACCATTGTTGTGGTCTAAAAGTTACGTAGCCAAGCTTTAAAGTTGTGCAAACTATTATACTGTTATAACTGAAAAATAGTTTATGAGCGCAGTTATGGCCGAAAGATATGTAAGCCGGCATTGTGCGGGTTTTATTTTACTTTTGTATTGCTGTGTGTTTGCTGTGCTTTTAATGAACCGCATGCCGTAGCCACTCCTACCACCTTACTGTCACCAGCCAACTGGACGCCCCTGACAATCACCACACCTGCCTAAATGGGCAGACAGGCTCTTAAAACGAGGAGAGAGGAGCAACAAGACGGGGAGACTAACGGAGACTAACGGGAGACTAACGGAGACTAACGGAGACTAACAGAGACGGGCAGAGACGGGCACGGACGAACGGGACGAGCACGGAGACGAGAGCAGGCCACGGAGGAAGACCACGAGCGGGACCCGTCGAGTGCCAAGGAGGCGAACCGTGAAGCGATCTACACGCAGCGGCGGGGCTCATACCCCGCCTGCGCAGTAAGTAGCGGTTCAGGACGCGTTTACCCCTCGTGGCCTTTGCCATATATTCGTATGCTGTGTTCTGCTCCGGTGTGCTCTCTCCCCTAGAGGTCTACGGCCCTGGGATCCGCGGCGGCAGCTGGAGGGCTGCAATCCGGATAAAGAGCGAGGACGCAGAGTCACTGGGACGTACCGCGAAGCGACCTACACGCAGCGGCGGGGCTCATACCCCGCCTGCGCCGTAAGTAGCGGTTCAAGACACGTTTTACACTCCAGCCTTTGGCCCATATATGTGCTGTGCTCTGCCGGTGTGCTTTCTCCCCCTAGAAGCGGTGTGCGCCATTCACATTGGGGACGAGCGCCGTCTACCTGCCTCTGGCCCACGTTAGCCTCAGCCATTGGGGCACAATCCCCCCGGAGCCCCCACATCCGAGGTTTCTGGGTTTTAACGAAGGACTTTTATAACTTTTATCCTTGTCTTTTTATTTAATAAATACTGTATTTGTAAAGAGTTTTTGTCTCTTTGGAAACACCACCATCGCTCTCATCTGCCATAATCAGACAATTCGGCCCCTTTCACTTCTACAAACTTCATCCTCTGCAATTAAAACCCCCCAACCATTACATAACTTGGCGTTGCTGGCAGGATACACAATTCTGAGAGCTGGTGTTTCCAAAAAGGACAAACATGATGATGATGCCGATTTTTGCGGGCGCGCCGTGGTTACCTAAATTTAAAGGGCCAGACAGTGACTTGAAATACTCTGATTGGAAGGAACAGATAAAAGGGCTTTTGGGTTCACAAGATTTAACAGAGGCACGACAAGTTGAAATTATTATAGGGGCACTAGCTGGGGAGGCTAAGCGGCAAATCACTGTCTTAGAAAACGATGAGCGAGACCAGACAAGGAAGATTTTTGTTTATCTAGACTCATTATATGGTGAGAAGACTCCAACACCCGTATTGAGATCACAATTTTTTGGCTGTACACAAAGAATGGATGAACCTGTCTTAACCTTCATTTTGAGGCTACGTGAACTCTATTCTAGATTGAGGCGCCAAGACCGTGAAAACCCCCCGCAGAAACGACAGTTTGATAAACGTGCTAACGCTGCGCCTCTCTTACCTGGCGAGCGAGTCTGGTTGCGGAATAGACGAAGAGAAGGCAGGGGTAAACTGAGCACTTGGTGGCATCCTCAACCACATGTTATTTTGAACACTGTCGGAGATACTGGGGTCGTGTACATGGTGCGCCCTGAAAAGGGTGGGCGCGAACAGACTGTGCACAGGAATGCCCTGAAAGTTTGTACATTGCCCCCTGATGAACCTGTGTCACTGCCCAACCCAGTACCCGTAGAGAGACATGAACTGCCAGTTGTCTACGGATTCTTTCCTGCTGGACCAGAACCACCGTTGGAGGAGCCCCAAGTTTTACCCCGCCGCTCCATCCGGCCGAACATTGGACAACTCCCTACGCGGTACAATGACTAAGTGACAATGGGACGTCCCCAGGGACTGGTAACGTAAAAGTGTGGGGGGGTGTAAGCCGGCATTGTGCGGGTTTTATTTTACTTTTGTATTGCTGTGTGTTTGCTGTGCTTTTAATGAACCGCATGCCGTAGCCACTCCTACCACCTTACTGTCACCAGCCAACTGGACGCCCCTGACAATCACCACACCTGCCTAAATGGGCAGACAGGCTCTTAAAACGAGGAGAGAGGAGCAACAAGACGGGGAGACTAACGGAGACTAACGGGAGACTAACGGAGACTAACGGAGACTAACAGAGACGGGCAGAGACGGGCACGGACGAACGGGACGAGCACGGAGACGAGAGCAGGCCACGGAGGAAGACCACGAGCGGGACCCGTCGAGTGCCAAGGAGGCGAACCGTGAAGCGATCTACACGCAGCGGCGGGGCTCATACCCCGCCTGCGCAGTAAGTAGCGGTTCAGGACGCGTTTACCCCTCGTGGCCTTTGCCATATATTCGTATGCTGTGTTCTGCTCCGGTGTGCTCTCTCCCCTAGAGGTCTACGGCCCTGGGATCCGCGGCGGGCAGCTGGAGGGCTGCAATCCGGATAAAGAGCGAGGACGCAGAGTCACTGGGACGTACCGCGAAGCGACCTACACGCAGCGGCGGGGCTCATACCCCGCCTGCGCCGTAAGTAGCGGTTCAAGACACGTTTTACACTCCAGCCTTTGGCCCATATATGTGCTGTGCTCTGCCGGTGTGCTTTCTCCCCCTAGAAGCGGTGTGCGCCATTCACATTGGGGACGAGCGCCGTCTACCTGCCTCTGGCCCACGTTAGCCTCAGCCATTGGGGCACAATCCCCCCGGAGCCCCCACATCCGAGGTTTCTGGGTTTTAACGAAGGACTTTTATAACTTTTATCCTTGTCTTTTTATTTAATAAATACTGTATTTGTAAAGAGTTTTTGTCTCTTTGGAAACACCACCATCGCTCTCATCTGCCATAATCAGACAATTCGGCCCCTTTCACTTCTACAAACTTCATCCTCTGCAATTAAAACCCCCCAACCATTACAGATATAAGGAGGTGGCGCCACCTTCTGGAGATCCCCGTAACTGCACCTATAGTTTCCGCGGCTTTCTGTGGGAACTATAGAAACCTGAGACCAGAAAGAGAGAAAAGAGAGAGAACAGAAAGAGTAGAGACCAGAGACAGTGAGAAATCAGTAAGAGAGAAAACTGATAGACAGAGAAAAGCCAGATAGACCAGAGACAGAAAGGGAGACCAGAGAGAGAGACCAAAAGGAGAGCAAAGAGGGAGAGACCAGATATAGAGAGACCAGAGAGAGACTGAGAAAGAGCAAAGAGAGAGACCAGAGAGAGAGAAGGCAAAAATAGAGAGATGAGAGACCAGAAAGAGAGAAAAGAGATCAGAGACAGAGACCTCATTCTTCATTAATAAACTGTTTTAATTAATTAATGAGAAGATTGGACAGTTTGAATCTTAAAATATTTCAGATACAAACTGAACAGTTGGTGTATAAAAGTATGAAGAAGCCACAGCTTGTGTAATTGTAGTTTTCTGCTTGTGCGTCATGATCCGTTTGCTCCTGTGTCAATCATTTTTGCACAAACACAAACATCTAATAAATATAACTCTTGGTCAGCAGCCCAGCCTCATCCAGAATCCATGAAGGCCGATGGGGAAGTGCTCAGCTGTAAAGTTTTGCTCCATCTCACTCTGGATCCTCTGGACTCACTTTCTGTCCATATATCGACCACACAACGATAAAAGTGATTCATGTTTCATAGGTCTTTAGTTCTTAACAGCAAATAGAAAAACAAACTCCATAGACAACTTATAACTGGACGCAACATGTTTTGAATAATATTATAACTTTTGATTTGTTACGGGAGCTCTGAGGAGACAGGCATTAACCGTTAGCCTCCATGTTGGGTCTCATTTACCCATTTGTTTTGACGATAAATAACTTATAACTACTAAACCTGGATAGATTTAAAATACCAGCTTCTTAAACTCTGCTTCGTCAACAGTCCTAATCACATTATCATGAGTCCTGTGTATTTCCCGGGTTTTCCATTGGCTCTCTGCTGTTCACATAAACATAAACCACAGCTGATAGAGCATTGTCCAAATGATGATAATCCTATTGTCAGAACCAACCCTTCTGTCCAAACGCTCACTTTGTTTAACTCGTTACACTATGATTATCAACGCTATTGACAGATATGTTTTACAACTGACATCTTTCAAATATCTCCCTTGAGTTTTCAACAAATGACAGAAAAGCAGACCCACAGAGAGAGATGGAATGCACGGCCTTGGTCTGGGTCAGGACTTGGTCTGGGTCAGGTCCCCAGCCCCTTCTGTCTAAACGCTGTTTTTTTAACTTGTTACATTATGATTAACAATGCCATGGATAAAGATGACTCACGACTGCATGCCTTAAATTAGACGAGAAACAACAGCGAGAATCAAGTCCCACCTCCAGATCGAATCAAGTCCCACCTCTAGACCCACCTCTAGACCCACCTTTAGACCCACCTTTAGACCCACCTCCAGACCCACCACTAGACCCACCACTAGACCCACCACTAGACCCACCTCCAGAGCAACCTCCAGACCCACACTAGACCCACCACTAGACCCACCTCCAGACCCACACTAGACCCACCACTAGACCCACCTCCAGACCCACCACTAGACCCACCTCCAGGGCTGAACCAGAGCAAAGCCCTTGTCCTCAAACAACTCTAAATGGCAATATACTTATAACAAATAACTTATTCATCTTTTAGGGTTTTTCCATTGTGTGTCAATTTCATGTTTTTAAAATGGACATATTTGACGCTCACGTGTTTCTTTGGTGGTTAGAGTTTATTTTGCAGATTTTGTTGTTTGTTTTTGTACCTTAATTTTACATAACAGGTTCAAACAGCATTAATCAACGGTACATTACACTGGAAGATAAAATTAAATAAACTTATCTCTGACTGTGGTAACTTTAAATATTCCACTTTCTAAAACATGAAAAGTCAATATTCTCAAGAAAACCCTGAACAAAAGTCAAACACAGAATAAAACTTTCTGATTTTGTCTTTAATAAACTTTATTTGTAAATGATTTGCATTTAGAATCCTTTCACCACATTTCAAATTATTATTCATAAAACATATTCAGGTGATGTCACATATTCTTTATCAAAAACAAACACACAAAGTATATTTTGGTTCCATTAAAAGTCCATCGTCCACAAACAATAACAATAATCAGGATACAACAGTCTGTTTGATCTTGGGCAGTTGAAAAGAGGAAAACATACTTTAGACGCTCTTTGTTTGAGTGAAGTTTCTGTTCTTAGCTTTTGCTCGTGTCCTCGAGTTTCTCACAGACATTAACACACTTTTTATGTCCTTTTTAAACATTATTAAGCCACAAACAGTGGTGTGTTTTCTTAGATCATTGTAAAAATATAAGACTCTTTGATTTACTGTTATACCCTCCACAAATCACATGATGAAAACCAAATAAACACTTTCAGTTTAAAGAGATGTAATAAAACAATACATTGATTGATGTAACTTAGTACTATGCATAGACTGTTTATAGATGGACAATGCTAACCCGCTAGCTCAATGAAGCCCAATAGAGAAGTGCTCACAGTGAAGTTTAGCTCTGGCTCCTACTGACTCTCATTGAAACGTAAACTCTTGGAGCTCAGTAACCATTTGTGTCACACTCTCTATTTTGGGCTTGAATCTGTGGTTTGAAGCTCTCTATGATCTTGGTGTTTTTACTTTGATATTGACTTTGTAAATCCAGAAATGAGCCATAAGGATTGACAAATCAGATGCCTTGCTTCACATGGAAAACTCAAGCATGCTTTAATAACCATTACTAACAGTGTTAGGGTTACGGCGCAAAGCCAACACAGTTGGAAATAATGCCCATATAAGGTCGGCTCCAGCTGGCACATGTTCAAATTGGCTTCTTTTGCATTTGGCAAACAGTAACAGATGACGTCAGTACTCAGTCAGTCCACTCCTAATATAAGGTCTATGGTGCCATATAGTCATTCAGTTCCAAAAAAACCCACATGCTTGATATATATATATATATCTCAAGCATGTGGGTTTTTTTATATATATATTTTTTTATATATATATATATATATATATATATATATATATATATATATATATATATATATATATATATATGTATATATATATGAGGGTCTTGTTGGACAGTTAGTGTCCAACAGAAAGGATTGGTGATGATCAGGACACTTTAGCATTCTACAACATGTATGGACATGTTCTTCTGTGTGTGCTTTATATTCTTCATGTGTTTTAACTGTTGATTCTCTGACCTGTGTTGGTGATTTCAATGGTTTTGTTAAGTCCTCTGAGATGACTTCTGTTGTGACCTAGGGCTATACAAGAATAAATTGTATTGTATTATTGTGTATATGTATATATATATATATATATATATATATATATATATATATATATATATTATAAATATATCTCAAGCATGTGGGTTTTTTTTGGAACTGAATGACTATATGGCACCATAGACCTTATATTAGGAGTGGACTGACTGAGTGCTGACGTCATCTGTTACTGTTTGCCAAATACAAAAGAAACCAATTTGAACATGTGCCAGCTGGAGCCGACCTTATATGGGCATTATTTCCAACTGTGTTGGCTTTGCGCCGTAACCCTAACACTGTTAGTTGGTTTTACATTTCCCTGGTTCCTCTTGTTCCTCTGGTTCCTGTTGTTCAGACTGAAAAAGGAAAACACAATAATTAGAAAAACATGCAACAAACGCACATTTGAATAATGTTGAATTGAAACCACAACTGTTTAAGTGGTGAATTAAAGTAAGGCTATGTTCACAGCATTGTTTCAATCTGTGCTGAACTTTATCAAAACTTGATTCTTAAAAGTGTCTGTTTTTCAAATGTACAGGTGTCTTATTTGAGGATCTGTTTGTATTTTTAACACCAGTGTGAACACAGCGTAAGACTAAGACATATCCTGTACATTCTGTTGTGCTCTTTTCTACCTCATGTGAAACAAACAAATCTCACACTTACATTAGTTTTAGTCAGAATTGTTTTCCGTCGCCGACATTTTTGAGGATTTCTGCCTTCTGCTTCTGCTCCTCCAGAGCCTTCACTCTCTTCTTCCACCCTACCTTTTTCTGATTCTTCTCTGACTCTATCATCAGGTCAATGTAGTCTGGAGCAGACAGAGGGTTTGGCCTCCGAGCGATCTCTCCCAAACGGTTTATGACTGCAGTGGCTTCCTGAACCATTCCACTCACATGTTGCTTAAACAGTTTATATTTCTCCTTCAGGGCTGAGATCATACTCTCAGTAGTTTTTCCTCTGTACCTTTCCTCTGTACCTTTTAGAAATCTTTCCTTTAACTCCTCTGCAGTTGTTGTCTCAGTGACTTCTTTGTACTGCCATCTGTACTTCTGGTTGTAATGATCACTCCAGAAGCATTTACCAGGACACTTTGTGCAGTATCCATCTTGGTTCATTGCAACACAACCTCTTTTTGCTGAATCATCACCGATGTCACAAGGGTAATGACAGGTCTGGTGACATTTGGAGCAGTTTAAGACGAAGTTTCCTGTACCTGTATTTTCGATGCTCGTCTGAACTGGCTTGATTACTTTAATGGTAACCTCAAAATCTTTGTTCCTCTCGATCTCAGCCTCATGCTTTTTGATTTGTTCTCGGATTTGCAGAATCTCGTCTTGCTGTGCTAAATCTTCTTTTATTTTCCTCTGTAGATCTTCCAAAGTCTCTTCAAGCCGTTTTCTTTCTCTCAGAACCCCTTTAGTCAGAATACAACTCTTAGGCTCAGTCTTATCCAATGCATCAAAGAAGCTTCTCATGCTTGCTTTCCCCATGTTCCAGAACATCTCATCAAAACCAACCACAGAACTTTGGTTTTCAGCAAAAAGTGCAGAATTGTTGAATTTATAGTGAGCAGGTTTTCCGTCATCATTTTTGGGGCATGGGAATTCTGCAGCTGTGATGGCCTCTAGAACTGGAGGCAGTTGTCCATCTGCAAAAGTCACCAGAACCCTGTGGTTTTCAGCCACAGGGTCCCCAAAGATGGAGAGGACAGAATCAAACACGTAACGCTGTGTGGCACTGTGAGGAAGTATAAAAGACTGAACTACCAAGCACATGGCATTGAGCTCATCCACCCCATGGCTGTCGGAGAAGAGGTTCCGGATCTGCTCAGTGATTTGATGGTCTCTTTTGATGCCGCGAGTGTCTCCAAAGCCTGGAGTATCGATGATGTTCAGAGAGTAGTCGATCATAAAGCCTTCGTCAAAGTTGATTCTGTAAACGGTCACCTCTGATGTCTGACTCTGACACTTCTCTTCTTCCACCACCAGTTTGAACCTGTATTTGTCCGTCCACTGCACGCCCAGGATGTAGTTGATCATGCCGTTGATGAGGGTGGATTTACCAGCTCTAGTGGCTCCACTCACTATTATGGTGCAGGTTTTCTTTCCTGGAACCTCAGAGCCGAAGTTGAACCGTGCACAGCCAGGGATGTTAATTTCATCTTTCTGCAGTGGAACCTTCAGGATCTGCAGAGATCCTTTGGTCTCTTTGACTTCACAAGTTTTCCTCACCTCATCTGCGAGGCGTCTGGGGCCCTCTGGTACAGGATAAGTTTTGTGGGTGAGTTCATTCAATGGCCCCTGTCCCATCTCAGTGAGAGCCCTCAGTCTGAAGGTGTACTCTGTGTCTGGGTTCAGTTCAGTGACTATGGTTAAGCCGGTGTTTGCCACTGACTGCTGCTGCCACTCTCCGTTTGCACTGGACTCTTTATTCTCTCTGTACTCCAGCCTGTAGCCTGTCACTGCCTCGGCTCCCCATGTGGGGGCGCTAACACAAAGAGTCACACTGTTATGTGTCACAACATCCACTTTAACCTCAGGCTTCGAAGGAGGCACAAAGTCATTACTGGCTTCAAATCCATCTTCATATGTGTAGATTGTAGATCCTTTATGAGTTTCATCTTTAAAAGCCACTGCCATAAACTTCACGTCCTCGTTGTCATTGTTGGCTTCTGCAAAGTCTGCAAAGAGCTTCACCTTGGTCCTGACGGCCTCTCGCACGACTTTGTTGCTGTACCACTGCTGCCTCTCCAGGTCTTTGGGCTGATAGCTGGACTGGTCCAAGCTGGCACCCTTTAAGTACTGATCTAAAGCAGAGAGATATTCTTCTTCAGTTTCCAGTGAGGTGAAAACAAAGCAAACTGCATACTTTATGTTGCAGTTTCTGGCATCTAGCTCATCCTGACACGAGAGGACTTCTGTGTGCTTCATCATATTAGTGAATGTTTTGATGAGTTTGATCTCTTTGACTTTGCTGGTGACCCACTGGTTCAGACAGTCACGGCTGAATGGAGAAGCAGCTCTTTTCTTCAGAATCTCAGCGAGTTCAGCTTCGTCCTCTCCTCCTCCACGGATCGCTGGGAGTTTCTGAGCCAGAACACCCTGGAGTTCCAGGTTAAACTGTGAGCAAAAGCTCATGAAGGTTCTGATCTTTGTGGATATCTGAGGAAACTGCTTTAACGCTGCGCTCTTCAAAATATCCTGACACTTCATGTCCAGGTCGGC